CCCCCCCAAACCCCAGCAACAACAAAAAACCAACAAACTAAATTTGAGGTTGTTTCAGAATGCTCTCAGGTCTGCCGGGGTAATAGTAATAGTATAGATTGTGAAGCGCATAGAACTTGCTGTCGGGCGGGGATTTGCGCTATACAAATGCTATCTATTATTATTACAAAACAAACAAACCCGAAACAACAAAAACAACAACAACAACAACTAAATGAATAAATTAAAAAAAATAAAAGAATGCGTAGTAGTACATTGTATTACGATAATTTGGAAAAAAGGAAACGGGAACTCTCCATTCGGAAAAAAAATCCTTGCACCAGGACTCACGTCCACAGGGTGTCCAAACTCCCTGGGTCACTTGAGGATCGCAGTGACGTCACGTGGAAAAGAAACTTTTCGCGTAGTTCAAGAAAGGGGGTGAGAGAAAGCTAGGGGAAAGGGGGGGAGGATGTCAAGTAAACTTAACTTGTAGTAAAAGTGACACAGAGTTAGACTTGCGTAGAGCTGTACACTCAAAAAGCGAGGGCGGAAAAGTGTGAGGGGGGAAAATGCATCGTTGCGATCATAAGATACATGTCTCATTCATTTTTTGAAGCCATTTTGAGAAAAAGAGAAAGAATAGCCACAACAATGTTTTTTCTCTAACAATTGACTCTGTGAAGCGCTTGCATTTTGGTATCGTTCTACCCAAGACTGAAGAATAGATGGTCGCTTTTAAGGACAACCGGGCTGACCCAGATTTCAGGGGTTTCCAGAAATCTTGACCTACACCAAGAGTGGACATTTCTCTACCTATAGGGGAAGTTTGCTTTCATTGGTGTGTATATTTGTTTGGTTATAGAAAAAACTCTCCTTGTCTTTTAAAGAAACTGAACAAATGGCAACAATTTTACCTTCGATTTTCTCAAAACAGCATTTTTCGGGATAGTCCCCTTATGCTTAAAAGCGACCATATTATGTCGGTCTTATGGCCTACCCAATTGATTTTATTTTTGTGAGGCAGCGTGGTGAAATCAGGCTCTCGTCAAAATAATCAAAGTTAAGAAACTTGCATTTGTCCGCAGGTTTGTGAATTTTTAAATCAAATTTTCGTTTTTTGGCTGAACACCTTTCATGCCCATTAAAGATCTCATTTCTGTATTGATTTTTCTGAAAAATGTTGATTAAATTCACTAAAATTATACATTTGCAGTTCCCACGGACTCTTAATCTAAGGAAATAACAAATCTTTGGTGGCCATTTTCTCCCCAATTCTACCTCTGAAAACAGGTGACCCCCACCTCCTTTATTTGCCAATATCTCTACTTGTAATGAAGATAAATGGATATTTTTCTTCATACAAATAAAGACAAGTGAACAAAGCTTTAAGATGATACCAATAACTCTACATGCCTCAAAACTGACGAGAGCCTGATTCAACCACGCAGCATCACATTTGGATTATTCTTTTTGTCCAAGTGAGCTTTATTATTACCAAGTTAGCTCTGCTCTTCATTTCAGAACCCAAAAAACCCCCCAAAAAACCCAAAAACAAACAAACTCCAAACCGGCCAAAAAATGACGTAGGCAAGTACTTTATGAGCGTGACGACACGCACATTATTCACTACCTTAAAATTAGAAAGTTTTATCTGCTCAGTACCTAGTCTTGAGAAACTTTTTGGCGTTAAAAATTCTGAGTTTCACAACATGTAAAGTTTTTTAAATGCAACTCTTTGAATATCTTGATAACGACTTCGAACAATCCTACGATTTTCAAAGAACAGATAGAACATCTGCTTTCTAACATCACGCTCTTAGTAATTCAAAACTGTCAAAAATGTCAGAGAAAAATCTGTAATTCTAAAGTAACGTATTGTGTTCCCTAGCAGCGGAAAAGACTAGTAGAGAATAATAAATAATAAGAATAAATATTTTGATCACAGACGTAGCAAAATAAATATGCACAATAAATTATGTCTTTGTGGACATAGAGAGCAGTTCCAGCTGAGATATGCCCCCCCCCCTTTTCTTCTTTAAATTCCCCCAAACAAAATGAATGTGGGAGTAATCATACGTTCAAAGTATGACTTTTAAAAACTTAAAATGTGTTACATTAAAAGAAGAGGGGGGGGGGGAGACAACTGCTTAGTGGTGTAAAGAAAGCTCAGTCCTTTAAAATACCCATGCATGCAATCACTGAAGTTAGCATAGATGTATTTTCATGCGACACACACACATGTTCATATTATACATGTACACGGAAATGTTACCAGACAACGGGTAAATCTTCCTCTTTTGAATAAAGTGTACCTGACAGTTAAACATACACAATCCGACACAATACCACGGTTCAGTTAGTCGCAAAGACACAGCAGGGTAATACGTCTCCTCTCTTTTCTAAAACTAAATCTGACCCATGACTTGGAATGTGATGTTTAAGAATAAACATTAAACCGAACATTTTCAGGTACCGGTATTGGAAAATAGGCTACCGCCCAAGTACATGGTATGTATTTTCTCTTTTTGTCTTAGTAAGAGTTTTACGGCACTTGCAACACAATTAGGTCATATAAATGACGAAGATAATAGGTGTTACACAAGAGAGTAACAAACCTAAAACTAGAAAAGAAGGAGGGGAGATAAGGAAGATAGATGTTTGATAGGAAAGAAGAAGCAAACCACACCAGAGCACCCGCCAACTACCCACTGTATTTTGTCTGTTTTGTTTAAGACCCCACTAGGAGCCATTTTGAAAAGGAACTTATGAGGAAGTCTCACAGAAAGGATTTGCTCACAGGTTTCGCTTTCTTTTGTCAAAATGAAAGTATGATTTGGAAACAAAACCCACACAAATGGCAACAGGAGGTGATCTATGTTAATGAGAAACAGTATTCAGATAATAAACAGTTTCTATTCAGGTATATAAGAAGCATTTTGATATGTCAAGTGTTCGTGTTATAAACCCCACTCAAAAATTGTTGTTTAAAATCGATCAAGTGGTTGCTGAGAAAGTTTGAGTCTAAAAACAACCCAGACCGACATCGACACATTAACAATAATAATGATAATAATAATAATAATAATAATAATAATAATAATAATAATAATAATAATAATAATAATAATAATAATAATAATAATTCAGTGCTGGGGAAAAAGTAAAGATTGACAGACCAAAATAACAAACGGGAATTAAAGACGTTGGACCCACCAGAGTCACCCTCCAACCACACGCAGTTGGGGAAAATTTAGCTTCAAACGTGTTCACAATATTTATTAAAAAGTAAACGAAAAAAAGAACGTCTACTCCGAGCCTTACAACTTCTTGGCAGGGAGCCAGTTCTTCTGTCTTTGTAGTGACGTATCTTGTGTCTGTGGTATGGCATAATAGCAGCAACAACAACAAAAACAACAACAACAACAACAACAACAACGAAGACGACGACAAAAGTAGCAGCAACAACAACAGCAACAACAACAAGATGATTATAGCAATTATAGCAGAAGGCACAGTAGAGGGCGAAAAGTAGAAATGTTAACATTTGAATATAGGCCTACATGTTTTTAAAAAAATTTATAACATAATATTATGTAAAGACTCATATATAATACATTCATACATAGAATAAAAAATACAGTCTAACACAAGTTTAGAAATGGTATATATACCATAAGGATAAAACATACCTGTCTTTTACAATTGAGACAGGCTGGTCATAGGTAAATTATGATCATAATTAATCATAAGTATTGTATCTCTTTTTCATCATTTTCAACATAAACAATTAATGATCAGGATTAATCATTTTTATCGATTTTACCCCATTTTCACTATAGGTAAAATAATGATGATAATTAATCATGTTGTGTCGCTTTTTACCCCATTTTCAGCCAAGACAATCGACGATCATAATAAATCACATTATGGTATCGCTTTTCAATTCTTTTCAACATAGACAATTAATGATCATAATTAATCTTTTTTTTTTCGTTTTTACACCCTTTCCAATTTAGACAAATGATCTTAATTAATCGTGTTATTACTGTATGGCTTACTCACCATTTTAAACATGGGAGGCCATATAAAATTTGATCAGAATACAATGTATTATATCATAATTATCATATTGTATGGATTTCCTGTCATTTTCAAGGCTTATGGGCTCTGAAAGACGCCATAGAAAGTAAACATAATTAATAATAATTACACTGATTGTGTTGTACACCATTTTCAAAACTACAAGATTCAGAAAGAGGACATAACCAGTGAAAATAATTGATTATTCTTTTATTTAGATTTTAACCACTTTTCAAAATTTACAAAGTTTTGAAAGAAGCCTGATCTTCGATTTAAAGCCCATGTTTGATACGACTAAGCTGAGTGGAGAAATAGAGATCGAAGCTCACTATACAAATTTTAAAAGATTAAACAAACTACACAACGTAGACTGTCTCTACTACCCTCCTGCCCCCCCTACCCTACCCCTGACTCTCTTGGGGTTCTGTTTGCATCTTCAGAAAATGCTCATATATCTCTATGTTTGTGTGTGTGTGTGTGTGTGTGTGTGTGCGTGTGTGTGCGTGTGTGTGCGTGTTTGCACGTGTGTATGTGTACGTGCACGCTTGTGTGTATGCACGTGTGTGTGTATGTATACATACGTATAGAAATCTGACAGTTGTTCAAAACCAACCGTAGAACAGCTCTGATGTATACATACATAAAAAAAACAATCTAACAGTTGTTTAAAAACAACCGCATAAACATGCTGGTCTATACATACATATAAAAATCTGACAGTTGTTAAAAAAAACATCCGTAGAAATATTCTGGGTACAAAAGACAACTATCTACGTCATCGTTCACTGGACATCTCCGTTAGGCTCAGTCAGAACGTTACGATCCTCTTGAGTTCTCCGGTACTTCTTTTTCCGGGATCGTCGTCTCTCCTCCCTGCAAATTGATAATAATGATGATAATAACAATGATAATGATTATGATGATAACGATAATAATGATAATAATAATAA